CCTACCCTAGGCTGAACATCAAAAGGGTCGACCCCTGGGTGCGTGTGCCACAGACTCAATGGGAAGGCCAATTCCACTAGATAACGAATGCGACTTTGGGGGAACCTTGGTTAAGGTCCGCAGGTGCTTGCATTCGACTGAGCCTGTCATGTAGTCCCAAACATGAATATGACTTCTGTGGCAAAAATGCATTATGTGTCAGCACTTAGCACATTCAAAAAAAAGTGTCAAGAGAGACAACAGTGGCATTCAATGTCCGAAACTGTCTCCTGGCACAAAAATGTATGTACCACTATAAGTTTTATGAAATTTCATGGCCTGAGACTTGTTTGCGGAATACTAGAAATGCTTTAATTTGGTGCATAATTTACAACTACAATGGTTGTCAGTTGGCCATCTTAAGTTGCTAAAACCACAATACACCTGTAAGCCATGGATTATGTTTTTTTCCACTCGGCCTATAAAGGTCTGAAAAATGAGTTTGGATGAACAGATTTAAATTTCAGGAATTAACTCATTGATATGCAATTAATTTGACAATGAAAAATTACTCAATGAAATTGCGTTTGTACCTGTAGTGGTTTATGCAAATTACGTTAATCTAATAATTTATCTTGGACAAACAATAAAAACAAAGAAATGATGCAACAACCGTTCGTGTAGGACAAATAGTTTCCCATAATTGTGCATTTTTAGAAACAAAATGGTGGCCAGCTGACCGTGCCAAGTTTGGGTCAATGTGTGCTACGAGGTGACTAATACCTTATGGCAAATATAAATAAAGAATATCTCATGAGTGACCATACAATTTCAGATTTATTTTTCAATAAATTTCATTTGTTCTGATGAAAATAAAATACTGCATGAGTAAAATGATCACGACCGAGCATTACCAATAGAACAATGTAATCTGCCAATCAAACATTTACAATGTTGCTCGTCATTTATTTTATTTTGACTTGACATTTTTATTTTTGACTCCCAAACACAACTACAAATTATAGATCTGAGACATACTCAAAATTGTTTTGAAAGCCGATAGAACACAAAAAGCGCATCTCACTATAAAGACATAAATTTACGCTACGCTCGCTGTCATATTAATGTTGTAAATTGAGATTTTTTTCCTAAAATTAACAAGCAGCCTATCGGCTGAGATAGCTCCGCTGTTAGCAATGCACATGTCAATTAAGAACAGAAGATATCATTAGAAAATGAACAATATGTATAGTATGTATAGCAATCTGACTTGCTGTTTTCAACAAGAATTCGCAAAAGTCACTTTCTACCACAAATTAGAAAAATATTCACCAAAATTAGAGAATTAAAGATATCATTACAAAATGAACAAATCAGAGAGAGGTCCACATGTAGTACCTATATATGTAATAT